AGGAGGTCACGATATGATTCCTGGTCACATTTCGGGCTTGATCCTCAGTAGGGGCGTGCAGGAGGCAACCAATAAATATTTTTTAAAATGGGGTCATGCTGTATACATGTGTTATAACGAGTTTTTCACTTCATAGATCACTAATGTCTTTCCTGTTAAAACCATACTTAGAGAACATTATTTATTTACTAGAGGCCCGGTGCATGAAAATTCATTCACTGGAGGGGGGGGGGTCCCTCAGCCCGGCCTGCCCCCTCTCACCCCGGGAGCCCTCAGGTGGGAGGCAACGCCCCCATCTCACCTCTGCTGCTACCACTGCCAGCAGCGCAAACCTCAGCCAGCCCTGGTTACCTGTGCCTCGGGCCGGCTGTGGGCGGCTAGACAGCTGCCATCTGAGGCTTGCCCGTGCCTCGATGCCTCGGGCCTGCTGTGGGCGCCACCATCTTGTGAGGGCGTGATAGTCTGTTTCAGTGACGGCGAACCTTTTGAGCTCAGCATGTCAGCATTTTGAAAAACCCTAACTTAACTCTGGTGCTGTGTCACATATAGAAATTTTTTGATATTTGCAACCATAGTAAAACAGAGACTTATATTTTTGATATTTATGTTATATATTTAAATGCCATTTAACAAAGAAAAATCAACCAAAAAAATGAGTGTCGTAGGTTCGCCATCACTGGTCTATTTGCATATTACCTCTTTATTATATAGGATAGGATGGTTCAGTTTAATTGATCTCAGAAGGGGGAGAGAGAGAGAGAGAGAGAGATCAATAATGAGAGAGAATCATTGATTGGCTGCCTCCTGCATCCCGTTGTTTCCTGCACTCACTGGACTGGGTATTGAATCTGCAACCTGGGCATGTGCCCTGACTGGCAATTGGTCCACCACTTTCTGGTATATGGGATGATGCTATGCTGGTACCCTGACACCAAATTCCAGCCTCCAGAACTGTTAGAAAAATACATTTCTGTTGTTTAAGCCACACAAATTTATGATGTTTTGTTATGACTATCTGAGCTGACTAATCTATACTAATAAAAGGGTAATATGCTAATTAGACCCGGTCAACTGGACATCTTCCGGTCATCCTTCCGGACAAAGCCATGGTGGCAGGGGCCGAGGCAGAGGTGGTTAGGGGCGATCAGGCCGGCAGGGGAGAGCAGTTAGGGACGATCAGGCAGGCAGGTAGAGTGGTTAGGGGCAATCAGGCAGGCAGGCAGGTGAGTGGTTAGGAGCCAGCGGTCCTGGATTGCGAGAGGGATATAAAGTTAACACCCAGAAATAGATGGCATTTTTATATACCAGTAATGAATGCTCGGAAACAGAAACTAAACAAATAATCCTACTTGCCATAGCAACAACAAAATTAAGATACCTAATAATAAACTTTACCAAGGAGGTAAAAGAGTTGTACTCGGAAAACTACATGATGATGATAAAAAGAGATAGAGGAAGATAGAAACAAGTGGAAGAATGTACTGTGTTCATGGATTGGTAGAATTAACATCATTTAAATGTCCATATTACTTGAAGCAATTTATAGATTCAATGCAGTCCCTATTAAATTACCAACAGTATATTTTACAGATCTAGAACAAATACTCCAAAAATTTATATGGGTACCAAAAAGCTTTAGCAATGTTGAGAAAGAAGAACAAAGTTGGCGGGGGATCACAATTCCAGATATGACATTATACTACAAAGTCATTGTAATCAGAACAGCCTGATACTGTCATAAGAACAGACATATATATCAATGGAACAGATCAGAGACCCCAGAAATCACCCCAAGCCATTATGCTCAATCAATATTTGATAAAGGAGGCAAGGGTATACAATGGACTTAAGACAGTGACTTAAGTAAATGGTGTTGGGAAATTTGGACAGGTACATGCACAAAAATGAAACTAGACTACCAACTTACACCATACACAAAAAAACCCTCAAAATTGATAAAAGACTTAAATGTAAGACGTGAAACCATAAAAATCCCAGAAGAAACCATAGGCAGCAAAATCTCAGACATCTCTCATAGCTATGTGTTTGTGGATACATCTCCTAGGGCAAAGGAAGCTAGGGAGAAAATGAACAAATGGGACTATAAACTAAAAACTTTTTGCACAGCAAAAGAAACCATCAACAAAATGAAAAGGGAATCCACTGTATGGGAGAACATATTTGGCAATGATACATCTGATAAATATGAAGATGAACAATTCAATTAAAGAAAAATGGGCAAAGGACCTATGTGGACACTTCTCCAAAGAGAACATACAGTTAGCCAAGAGACATATGAAAAAAGGCTCAAAGTCACCTATCTATAATAATAAAAGCATAATATCATAATTAGACTGGACAGCCAAACAACCTTCCAGATGTCCTTCTGGATGAAGCTGCCATGGCAGGGGCCAAGGCAGATGCCGCTGGGGGCGATCAGGCTGGCAGGTGAGTGGTTAGGGGATATCATGCAGACAGGCAGAGTGGTTAGAGGAGATCAGGCAGGCAGACGAGCAGTTAGGAGCCAGTGGTCCCAGATTACGAGAGGGTGCAGGCTGGGCTGAGGGGCACCCCCCTCCATGACATGAATTTCGTGCACCGGGCTTCTAGTGCAAAATAAAATGGTAATGCGGCAGTTGAAACAGGTGCTAACAGCAGTGGATCTTGTCGCCTTTGGGGGCTGTCACTGTGCCCCTCAAAGTGAATTGGAAGGTTCTACACTCCTGGTGGCCAGAGAGGGGTCTCCTAGGCAAGCACCTAATGGGAGTTTTGAGGAGCACCCAGAGACCTGATGCTTTAATTATGTTTAATTTGTAACAGTGAAATTGGGGGTCACCACAACATGAGGAACTGTATTAAAGGGTCACGGCATTAGGAAGGTTGAGAACCACTGGTTCAGGGGCTGTCCTTGGGACAGCAAGGGTAGAAGTATTGGCTCAGTGAGGGTAGGGGCTGGGGTGGAGGCCCATTTAATAATCTCCCCTCAGCCAAACAAACAAAAGTAAATAAATAAATAAAAAATAAAATGATAATGCGGTATCACCTCACATCTATCAGAATGGCTACCATCAACAAATCAACAAATGACAAGTGCTGGAGAGGATGTGGAGAAAAGGGAACCCTAGTACACTGCTGGTGGGAATGCAGACTGGTGTAACCTTATGGAAAACAGTATGGCGTTTCATAAAAAAATTAAATATGGAACTGCCATTTGAGCCAGTGATCCCACTTCTAGGAATATATCCTAAGAAACCCGAAACACCAATTAGAAAGAATGTATGCACCCCTATCTTCATAGCAGTACAATTTGTAATAGCTAAGGTCTGGAAATAGCCCAAGTGCCCATCAGTAAATGAGTGGGTAGAAAAGCTGTGGTACATTTATACCATGGAATATGTAGCAATAAAAAAGAAGGATCTCTTACCCTTTGAGACAGCATGGAGGGAACTGGAGAGTATTATCCTCCGTGAAATAAGCCAGTCAGAGAAAGACAACTACAGTGGGGCCTTGACTTACGAGTTTAATTTGTTCCGTGACGGAGCTCATAACTCAAATTACTCGTATGTCAAATCTTAAAGTGAACGAGGGAGACAGGTGATGCCGGGCTGATGTTGTGGCGTTCACTGTGACGTTCGCTGCACCAACTAGCGGTGGGATATCTGAAGCTGGCTCATAACCCGAATTTTAGCTTGCAACTCAAAGCAAAAAATCGGCCGAGAGACGGCTCGTATCTCAAAAAACTCGTTAGTCGGGACACTCGTAAGTCAAGGACCCACTGTATCACATCATCTCACTTATTTGTGGAATCTAGGGAACAAAATAAACTGTTGAACAAAATAGATCAGAAGCATGGCATAAGATTAAAAGACACAGAAGCATGGAATAAGACTGTTGAATCTCAGAGGGAAGGCAGGAGTGGGTGGGTGGGAAGTGATCAATGAAAGAACTTGTATGCATATATGGACACAGGCAGTAGGGTAGTGGAGGCCTGGAGTAGGGTGTGGGGGCAGGCTATAAGGGGCAGTGGGAGAAAACGGAACATAAGTAATGCTTTCAATAAATATTTTTTTAAAAAAGACTATAACTATTATGATTGTGTATTGAGGATTAGTGTATTTCAGCAATAAAGATTTCTTTAAAAAAGACTATTATGATAATATATTGAACTAGACAAGAGCGAAGTCAGCCAGCTAGAGATAAAAAACAAAAATAAAATAAAATGAATGGGTTTCAACTAGGATCATCTTACATTTACCTGATTAAGTTTTTAGGGATCAGGAATGTGGCTGAAGTCTGGCCTAGGGAAATCTTTGCAGAATAGGAAGTACAGAGGCAATATTTAACCTTGGAAATCAATAATTATGCTATATAAGTGGTTATATTGATTATGTCATCTACATATATAAAAGCCTAAGCAACTGGCCAACCATTTGACCGTCCGACTGGTAGCTATGATGTGCACTGACCACCAGGGGGCAGATGCTCAACTCAGGAGCATCTGACTTGGCAGCTGCGGTTCTCGGGTTATGCAGCTGGAACCAGAGACGAGGGAGCCCAATTCCAGGGTGCATCACCCGAGAACTGCCCTCTTGCAATCTGGCACCCCTCGGGGGATGTTGGAGAGCCGGTTTTGGCCCAATCCTTGCAGGCCAGGCTGAGGGACCCTGGCAGTGCATGAATCTGTGCACTGGGCTTCTAGTTAGATGTATTATCATTAGTTTCAGTGCCTCATCCCTGTCTTTTTCCATCTTTACAGTTGTTTGTGCCTTTTGAGAAAGGATGTTAGTATTATCCTTGAAGTGTTAATTTTAAAAACTTTTGTCTTTTTCTCCTTATCTTTTAATTTCTAATGTACTCATATTCTGACAGATACTAAGAGCACACTTAATGGTGCTTTGTTATATAACTCATCAGGGATCCTTTTTATTTTCAGTTCTGTTTTATGTTATTTGTAATATTTCTTTTAGAAATACACTAATAACTTTTGGGTTTGCTTCTAGAAAAATTGATTGCTTATCAACGAGAATTTCTTGCTCTGAAAGAACGTCTTCGGATAGCTGAACATAGAATCTCACAGCGTTCTTCTGAATTAAGTGCCATTGTACAGCAGTTCAGGCGTGTAGGAGCAGAGACAAATGGAAGTAAGGACACATTGAATACATTTTCAGGTACAAATTATATTTTTAGTTTTATAAGAAGATCATTTTCAGAGGGTTGTGTGAAATACTTTATTTGAAAGTTATAGAGTAGCTTATCAGCCAACATTTATTAACCTTTTCAGAGAGAGAGAAATCATCACAGAAAATTTCCTATTATGGTAAATTATAAAATAGTTTTTATTAATTTAGGAGAGTAATAATGGGTTAAATTTCAGTTGTACAAGTTTCATTGGTAATATAGTGTTTTTATGTTTTTAAAATCATATTCAAAATGAGACAAAAATTTAACTTTGCATTCATACATGTTTATGTTGTGACTTGTATGGGCCTCAGTTGGACTCTGGAGAATCTCGAGCTCTTTGAAGCAATTCATGCTTTTAGATTTGACTTATAAGAAAAAAATATTAAGTTTTATAATGGGTGCTTTTAGAGATATTTGACTTTTTTCTCTGAGAACTTCTGGTTAGAATATGATGAGCGCCAATCATCTCTCTGTTTCTGTACCATTCTTATTCTAATAATCAAATTGATATATGTGTATCCGTTGCTTTAAATTTACATACTATTTCAAGATTATTGTACTTTTCATTTAGCATAATCTGTTCTAATCCTTTACCATTAATTCCTCTTGTTTTAAGATTCACCACCTTACCTTATTTTAAAAACTTCATCCTTAATTGTTTTCCCTTCTGATTATGAAATTGTATTATGGCACAGTAACATTTAAAATTATGGAATGGTAACCCAGCCAGAGTGCTCACTTGGTTGAACATCATCTTGTGTACTGAGTGGTTGCAGGTTCGATACATGGTCAAGGCGCATACCTTGGTTGCAAAGTTCGATCCCTGCTTGGGGCCCACACAGAAGGCAACCAATTGATGTTTCTGTCTCACATCAGTCTCTCTCTCCCTCCCTTCCTTCTTCTCTCTAAGCATGTCTGTGGGTAAGGATTAAAAAAATAATACTATTAAAAATAAGTGAAAGTATGGAATGGTACAGATAATAAAAATAAATCATCCATAAGCTTTCTGCCAAATGATTTCAGTTAACATTATTTTGTTTCTGTCTAGTCTTTTTTTACGAATATTTTTCTTCAGAATTGTTACGTGTTATAGCCTGATTTTTACTCTTGAAATTCTGTAATAGAATTTACTATGTCATTGAATATTCTCCAAAAAATACCATTTCTAATGGCTGTATAACTTGTCAGCTAATCATTTACTGTAATATATTAAACATTTTTTAATAATTAGGCAAATAGACTTTTCTGAGTGGTTTTTCTGCCCCAGTTTATAGCTCTGTGATAAACATCTTTGCATATAAATCAATCACACTTCTGGTAGCTCTTAACTTATTTTCATTAGGTTATGCCTTTCTTAAAAACAAGATCTATGTTTTGATGACTATTGATTTTTTTTAATATATATTTTATTGATTTTTTACAGAGAGGAAGGAAGAGGGATAGAGAGCTAGAAACATTGATGAGAGAGAAACATCGATCAGCTGCCTCTTGCACACCACCTGCTGGGGATGTGCCCGCAACCAGCTACATGCCCTTGACCAGAATCGAACCTCGGACCTTTCAGTATGCAGGCCAATGCGCCATCCACTGAGCCAAACCAGCTAGGGCTGACCATTGATTTTTAACAACACAGCACAGTGGCTGCAACAAAATAGATAATCACTGAATATTCACAGAATGCATAAAAGTTAAATTCCTAAAAGGGAAGTTATTGAATAACAGGACAGAGGTGTTTCAGGGTTTTTGATGCTTTTCTGAATAGCTGAAACATTTATTACATTTTCACCAAAATTTAGTATCATCATTTAATTTTATTGCAAAAGCATCTTTTTCACTTCAAATGGAGATCCCATTCACCAAAGTATGAAATTAGGAAATAAAATTCTTTAGTTCTAGTTTCCATAAATTTTACTGCTATATTTGTAAAAACTGCAACATCTATAGGTAAGGTGTCTTGTGCAATAATTATACTTCTGTGTTTCAGATAATACCTTAAAGCTATTAAAGGAGTTAACAGGAAAAAAATCTCTCCACGTGCCAAGTATTTATTATCATTTGCCTCATTTATTGCAAAATGAAGGAAGCCTTCAACCTGCTGTGCAGATTGGTAATGGAAGAACAGGAGGTGTGTATGTTTGCTGTCTTATTGTGGTTGTACTGCTCATCTTAATTTATGTATTGGAGTACTACATTGTCTATTAGAAGTTTGGCAGGTCAAAGGATAAAAATTATTTTTCTGTGCATAGTAACTTAGGACTCATTCTAAAGTTCATGCTGAGTGGAGTTGGACATTTTTCTCCATAGACCAGATTAGTAGAGCTGAAAAGGATTGTGAGAAATCTAGTTCAAGCTCCATCTCTAGGCAGAAAAATGTTTAAATCTTTATCTTGTTGTTGTTGTTAATCCTTACCCAAGGACATTTTTCCCCATTGATCTTTAGAGAGATTTTTCTCTCTCTGTCAGGGGTAGAGACAGAGAGAGAAACATTGACGTGAGACAGACACATGGATTGGTTGCCTCTTGCATGCACCCCGACCAGGGCTGGGGATGAAGCCTGCAACCTAGGTACGTGTGCCCTTGACCGGAACCAAACCCAAGACTCTAACCATTGAACCAATCCGGCTATGGTAAAATCTTTGTCATTTTTTATTTTGAATATTAAAATTAATCCATATCCTGACCTTCCCACAACATTTGCAGAGGCAGGCTGCTGTCTTCCAGAGGAGCTGATAGCTCTTAAAAGAGTGTGCTCAGCTTATGATTTAAGAAATATTTATGATTTAAGACATATTTTTTAGAAGGTGCTAGATAAACAAAGACAAACGAGATGTGTAGCATACTCAAAAGCAGGGGTCCTCAAACTATGGCCTGCGGGCCACATGCGGCCCGTCGAAAACATTTATCTGGCCCGCCGGGTGTTTTTGCTGCCGCTGCCTGTCCTGCTTAGCAGCCGACTCGTCCCGGGCCCGCAGTGCGCATGTGTGGAAAGTCTGAGGAACAGTGAACTGGCCCCCTGTTTAAAAAGTTTGAGGACCTCTGCTCAAAAGTATTTTCTTAGAACAGTGATCATTATTTCTGAAGTTGATATTGTATTCTCTCCCTTTAGTAATCACTGTTTAGGTAGATGCCATAAGCTATTTAGTGAATTTGTTGGTTTAGACTTCATTAATCATTATTAATAAAAATACTGAAGGAAAGTAAAGTGTTTTAAAAGTCATTTAAAACTGTAGAATCACAAATATATTCTTTTATAGTAGTCTGTTTTTATTTTATGAATGTGACATTCTGTTCCTTTTGAAGATACTTACTCCATCCCATTTGCTTATAACTTATCCATCTACACTAATAAAAGAGAAAAATGGTAATTGGCGTACGACGCTACCCTTTTCATTGACTAATCAGGGCTATATGCAAATTAACTGCCAACTAAGATGGCAGT